AGCGATGATGTGTTGTATCTCATCACTAGTTATGTAAGACACTAACTCGATATACCAAGCTGTCAACCACTGACAACAATGCCTAGTTTCGTTCAGACCGCTTGTCTACTTTATGTTGCTTGAGACTTGTCTCAAAGCGCCTCAGTGCCTTTGCTGACTCTCTTCTGTGCCGTACAATCACTTTCGGGGATGATAATCTATTCCAAGAACAAGCAACCTATCACTACATCGAACGGCTGCTTGATCCTACAGATGCTTCTCGACAACTAGTTCGCTTTCTTCATGTCCAATCATTTCGGGGCGATAAGGAAAGTTATTGTATGAACACGGAGCTTCTGTTAGCTTGCGTGCGTAGCATTCGAAAGCTAGATTCATTTAGGTTCGCGATTTTACATTACCGCCAAGTCGTCAGGCTCCACTGTTGACACTCAATATGTACTGATATTTTCGTTTACAGCTGGGATAGCAAATCCCCATTACCTGAAATTATATTGGATGCACTGCATCTCTGCCACCCTGGCGCCCAGCTATGTATTTCCGCGGATAGGCTCAACCAAGCAGCTACCTCGTCCCCTCAACTCCATCGTCTATCTTGTTCTATTCCATGTTCCAGCATTAGTAATCCCGACTCAATGGCCCCACTAGAAGACCTCAAACGCATACTCATTCAATCTCGCAACCTTCGGGCGCTGTCGGTTGATGTTCACCAGGATCCCAACCCGCGTCATGCGGTAGAAAAGAAAGCAAAAGAGTTACGCATGTTAGCCCAACCTTCATATCTTTCATCAATGCAGCACAAAGCATCCCACTCACAGTTTCTTGGTTATCAAACAGCCGGAAACAACACAAATCTTTTGGAAACAACTTATCCAGTCCAAATCCCTCTAGTGTCAACAGATCGACTACCACCTTTAGAGGAGTTGGCTTTTAAAGCCATCAGATACAAACTCAACGATGAAAGACACTGCCACATACTTTCTCAATGCATGGACTGGAATAAATTGAAACGGCTCAGTCTTGGGCCTTTGAACCCGGAAATATTCTTCCATTTCTTCACCAACAGGATCCCAATTTTGGAGCACCTAGAATTTTCACATCGCTCTCGTTCACATAAACGCATTACATTCCGTCGACAGGACCTACTTAGAACATGTTCTAAGTTCATTTCATCACTCAACCAGTTGAAAACACTCATCATTCATTGCGACGTGATCGACTTTTCGCACCACTTTTGGCTCAACCTGGGGACTACACATGGAGGATGCTTGGAAGCACTGTCACTTTTGGCATGTTATGACGGACTTGAACCGCCAACATGTTGTGTTTCACAATTGGATTTCCTCACTTGCTTCACTGCGTTGAAAACGCTGGACCTTGCTACAGAAACCTTCTTTGCACCACATGCATGCACCAATTGCGAAGAAGCAACACACAATCTAGTAAGTCTCTAAACTAAAAAAAAGTAAAATTTGAACAACTTACGCAAGTAGAGCACTGAATATATCAAAAACATACCCTTTCTTACCTCTTTACAAACGATTAATGTTTCTGTTCGAGTTTACACCAGTGGCAAAACATCCTTGCATTCATACATTGCTAATCATGCACACTGCGCAATCCGGGGTCTCTGGGCCAGATACTGCAACCAATCCAGTGATCACGACTTGGAAAGCTTCAAGCTCCATTTCTGGCGTTGGGAGACACCTTCCCCACATCCGGACGAGGATGGCATTATACATCACGTCCGGATCCATAGGATTGCTTTTGAGGGCAGGAAGAGAGGGGCACAGTTATTCATTAAAGAACACGATGATGGAAACATTATTTCAACATGGTACGATGAGGTCTGGCGTTCGAGCGGGGGGAATGAATTGAAGGCAACATATGTTCCGCGGTTACGAAAGGAGTCACACCATGCTTTGATATTAGGAGACTGAACATGCTATAGTATTTGATATGATACGTGACTCAGGCTGGACAGAGTTTTGAAGTAGTGTAATTAGCCTCGGGGCAGTTTTCATCAACGATTATGCGCGGTTCTCACGATAATTTTTCATCTGTATTTTTTTCGTAGCGAGCGACGTATTCGGCTATTTTTTTAAACATGATCACTTCTCATATAAAGCACAAGGTTAATGTAATATTCCTTCCTGTGCAAGATTGTAAATGGTGTCTGTCTTAAAATCACGCTGTAGTTGTTACAGCAGGATATCACATCAATAGTATTTATGCAGCAAGTATTACGGTAACTACTAGTCGTTTCTCAAGAGTTTAGAAGCTCAAGCGTTCATACATTTTGTCAAAAATGTTTATATATGTATATGGGTATAGTTGTAGAAACAGACGACAGATTTTCTTTTGGTTTGACAAGAATCTATAATCATGATTTCTCACAATTATAAGTGGTAAGTGGGAAACACCTCACCAAATTTATGAAGATAGCGAGAATGGCAAACAAAAGGTAACCTTAATTGAATTCCCGGCCGAAACAAAATAAATTATCACTACCAAGTACATATGATATTTCTTAAAATCGTTTTCTGCGTTATAAAAATATGAACATCGAATCATTACCAATAATCCTTCCTTCTCAAATCATTTACACCACTATTCCAAACCCACCGCAATCGCTGCAAGGGACCACTCCATGAAACCGGCACTGGTATCCAATATATTTTGGTTGAACTCACCTGATGTAGGGTAGAAATTGGTCGAGTATCCAAACTCCATGGTGAATCCATGAACCTTGTTCTTGCCCGGCTGCGCCCACTGCCTACTATACGCGTAATCATCACTAGCACCAGATGTAGGATAAAGACCCACAGCTTGAATCTCAGAGTAAGAGCGGCCGCCTACGGCCCTCATACCTGCCGCTGTCTTGGCTGCTACAGTCTTGATAGAGGTTATGTCGGAGGCGGGAGCGTACTCCTTGTACACGGTGTCGCCAACGGTGCCACGTTTGCCATCATATGCCGCGTTGAGGAAGTTCATAGTGGGGGTATTGGACTGGTTGTCATCGTCGCCCCACGAGTACAAGATATCTCCAACGGCGGAGTGGACATCCATGAACCACCGAATGTTGGGGAAAGAATCGTAGACGCTGATGAGGTTCTTGGTCTCAGGTTCCGAGTTTGCAGCTGTTCCAGAGTAGACTTCACTGCTAGGTGATGTTGATGCTGGTGCCTCGCTTGGGGAAAAGTATTTCTTGAAATTCCAGAGGAAGTCGAAGTTCCTGTTAATGTCGACACCGATGGAGCTTCCGCTGGAGCCAGAGCGCGTGTTGCGGTTCTTTCGCCATAGGGCGCCGCTGGATTGATCGTAGGCTATGCCGTCAGGGTTCACCATGGGGAAGACGACGATGCCGGCTGCTAGAACGCTCTTTACTTGGGCATTAGTGTATGTCTTCCTGCCGTATGTGAGACCAGTGCCAGCCTTGTTGGCGGCAAGCAAATCGGCAATCCAGTAGATGACATTGTCGGGTCCACCTCGCTCGCGAGCGTGCACACCGGCACTCAGGTACAGGTGGTAGGCTGACTTGTCTGTGCCCGCGCCGACGTAGATAGCAGATGAAGATGCGCCGTTGAATGATTTGAAAGGAAGGGCAACTGTGCTAACACCATAGGTCTTAGCAAGAGCTTGAATCGCCGAGTTGACTTCTGCGGGATTCATGATGCTAGTGAAGGTTGTGCCTGAAGCCTGTGATCCAAGACCGACAGGTACAACAGTTCCAGACTTCCAGCGATCTCCAGTGCCAATTGGCGCTGTTGCTGCTCGCTTGACGATCTGCTTGGTGATAGAGAGTTCTGGGGTGCTTTCGTATTCCTTTTGGAGATAGGATATTTGGTCCTCAGTCAGGAGCGCATGAAGCGTGAAGGAACCATCTTGAGTGGCTTCTGCAATCGGCCGGCATCCAAAGTCAAAGGTATCATTGCGAACAATGTCATGAAAGTGTGCAGCGGTTGGTGCCTTGAAACGAACAGGCAAAAGATCGCCAAGCACAATGGTGCTCTGAAGAATTAGAGATGCAACGAGTGAGTACTTCATGATGGCCGTGACAAAAGCGATAGACTGTGCAACACGGTAAGTAGACACAATGGAGGCTATGTCGGTTTGAAATACAAAAGCGTGGAAGAAGGCATAATACAGTTTTCGGCCCTATCCAGCCTAATTTGGCTCTACTCCAAATGAATGGCAGGTGATGTCCTGGCTCAAATGCTCGGTATGTGCCCGATAGGGGAGTTGGCTGTGCTACGCTCTCCCATTGGCTAGAGTGATCGGCGCTAACCGTGACCTTCTTATTTGGTCTCTACGCCGGTACTTAGCTACCATACACCTGCCTGGATTGACGTGGACGGGCGCAATTTCGAGATAAGATGTAATGCGAGCTGCCTCGACTGGATAAGATATATTGATATATCGATTGTGGTGGCGCGTCAATTAGATTGCAGGATGTCGTGTCGTACGGCAATGGGAAAGTTGCCAAGGATTCCTGAGCATCCACACAGAAACAAAACAAAACAAAACAAAACATAACTACTATATCGATACCAGGCTCGATAGTTTGCAAAGACGCTTTTAGAGGTGGACTTTTGAAACTCAGAGAAGTGTTGCTTTCCAGTGCTGAAGCTGCTCGAGAAGTTGTATGGCGCTGTATCTTGGTTAGCTATGTTTTAGATCAGATTGCGCAATAACTCTACTCTAAACTGTAAATGCTTTTCCGTTTTCTGACAAAGAAAGACGTAGCTGTACTGTTCAGTTCCTGGTATAGTAATTCTATCGTTTTTGGCATCTCGTAATATGTGACGAGGAAGCTATACTATATTATACATCTTGGAGGATCATGAGAAATGTGCAAGTGGCATGAGTTTCTATCAGCTTTACTGATAGGAACAAAAATTTCTTACCTTCGCACATTTCTTCCCAGCGCTCAGAGCAGTTGCAGGTCGACGAAATGATCAATCCAGCAGGATATATTACAATTCCAATTTTGCAAAAATAACGGGTCTTGCCGCGACTCGAACGCGGGGCCTCTCGCAACAGTGCTTGGGAATACCCTAAGCGAGAATCATACCACTAGACCACAAGACCTTGGATGGAAAATTTGAAACTTGTATATATCATATCTACTAGATTACAAGATGAATAGGTCCCAGAGAGCTGTGCTACAGTAAAATTACCTTATCAATTAACTTACCTGTACAAGGTGCTAAAGGGAGTACTAGGTAGCCCAGGGGCGATAAATGCTAGTACCTAACTGCCTAATAGCATGAACCGTGCGGCTTAAAAGTATTAGATCCATAGGCACGCGTCTAAGCTACAGGACGTCACACATTGCATGTGTGTCCCTGGCAACACGAATCACCGGTCTTCGCAGTCCCAATCCAAATTGCGTTCTAAAATGCTTGTATGGATTATGCTTGTATGGATTGTTTGCTTTGGTTCGGCGTATACATGATCCAAGCGAGTCAACATGGTGCATCTATTCGTTGCAGAAGGTATTATATCACATTCGCGCTAGGAATTGCATAAGAGTGATGGTATCCGGATATAACCGGCGGTTGGTGACAGCTAAGCCGGCAACAGGCAACAGATGACGTAATGGATCAGAACTTATCGAATATGAAATTCTTGTCCACTTTGGTATTCGACCCAGGCAGTGGAGGCGACTTTGAATATTAGTTGACACCCTGATCTATTGAACCAACTGGCCTTTTCTTGAGACGACAATTGATTGACAAACCATACACCAACAAGCATGTTCCGCTCGGTTGCAACACGCGGGTTGCGCATTACTTCTGCTTCCTCGCCCTGCCTTTACTGCACGCAACGCATATCATGTCAAGAAACATGGCGACGAGGTCAATCTACTACTACGACACCAACAACACACTACTCCTTCTTCCCTAAAGCCATACCTCACGGCCCACCGCCCAAAGCGCCCTTCCCCATTGACCTCTCCGCCTTGAAGCGCGAATTTCTGCAACTCCAAGCCCGCGCCCACCCAGACATGCATGCGCAGCTGGACAAAAAGCGCGCCGAAGCTCTTTCAGCACGGATCAACGAAGCTTACAAAACGCTCCAGAACCCTCTACTGCGGGCACAGTACCTTTTGAGCCTACGTGGGATTGAAGTCGCAGCAGACGAGACGGCTAAAGTAGAAGATGGCGAGTTGCTACTAGAAGTGCTGGAGGTGCGGGAGCAGATTGAAGAGGCCGGGCGAGAGGAGGATTTAGAGGAGATTAGGAGGGCGAATGAAGAGAGAATTAGGGAAAGCGAGGTTGTGTTGGAGAAGGCGTTCAAGGAAGATGATGTTGAGAGTGCGACAAGGGAGACGGTGAGGCTAAGGTATTGGACCAACATCAAGGAAAGTGTGGACAATTGGGAGAGATCGGAGTCGGCCGACATCTGACATCTGACGTACTACCAGTACTGGGGGGCGTACTTTGGGTAGTGTCCCGGCAAGCCTCGGCTCTTGGTCGCATCTTTGTCAAGTCACTTGCGCGCCTTCGTTTCATTCCTACTCTACTTCCCTTCACCATGCTCACCACCTCATTCCAACCTGCTGAAGCTGTAAGCAAGAAGGATGGTTTGATCCATGGCCTTTCTGCAGCTGAACTTCAAGTCATCGGCGAGCAATGCATTGAAGCAAAAGCTGGGGCATATTGTATGTCAATTCTGTCTCCTACTTACCCCATGATGCTGTTGGCTGTTGTGCGAATAGGTAGGCTGCTTAGCCCCTATGCTAACAGACATTCTGCAGGCCCATATTCACTTTTTCGCGTCGGCGCCTCCCTCCTCCTGCACCCCACCATCGCCCCCGTCAATTCATCAGCTTCCTACCCAGCCTCACACATCATCACAGGCGCAAATGTAGAAAATGCGGCTTACCCAGTTGGCACGTGCGCCGAGCGCGTCGCAATGGGTTCAGCTGTTCACTTGGGCCACCGTCTCGGCGCCTTCAAAGCCGTGGGTGTATCTACCGACATCGAGACCTTTTGCAGTCCGTGTGGCATGTGCAGGCAGTTTCTACGAGAGTTCTTGGACCTGGAAGTTCCTGTTTTTATGTTCAACAAGGAGGGCAAGTGGATTGTCAGAACCATGGGCGAGTTGCTGCCACTGAGTTTTGGACCAAACGTGTTACCACCAAGAGAGGAGATGAGAAAGGTGCAGGAAGATGACAAGGCGAAGACTGCTTGAGTTTATGAATGCATTCAGCCAGGGAGACACCATAGATATTCAAGCTTCTAGTACCACTCATATTCACCAATGATTACCTAGGTATTTTTGTTCAGGACATGTTGTACCCCGCGGACCCACACTGTCAGATAAGGTATAAGGTGGATGATAAGCACCCATCTCCACCAACAACAACCCACATATTACCTATCTCCGCGCCCCGTGGATATGCAATTGAACCCAAGTCCGCAATGCTTTGGTTGCATACTCAATCAAACTAGTTTAACACGGAAACAAAACATGTCTCTTCCTCGAGCAAAGCCTATCTACCTTGACCTCTCTGTAATTCTTTCAACGCAATGACCGAGACGAATGTAAAGTTGGAAAATGAACATTTTTCGCCATATAGAGCTGATGGCAAATTGGTGAGTGTGGTCTAGAATAAGGAAAAAGAACAAGAATAAAAGAAAAGCGCAACTTGGAACATTTTGTCATGGAAGTTGGCCTATCCAATCCACCCAACTAACACCAAATCCTAGTATGGCTTCGTCTGTGTTGTAACAGGCGCAGCACAACCCATTGGCGAGGCAATCATCGCTGAACTCGCCGGTGCGTTTCCAGACCTCTCGGAGCCCTTAGAGTTCATTCACACTTTTCCAAATTGACAAATTGGCTGACACCCACCAGCCCACGGCGCAGCTTGCATCTACGCATGCCGCACGCCTTCAGAACCCGAGTTCTCTATCGAGCTCCCCTACCCCAATACAAAGATCATTTCCTACCCATATAAAATCTCCTCTGAAGAAGACACCCTCACCCTCATTGACGATGTACTCAATGCCTGGGGTCGCCTCGACATTTGGACCTCCTCCACGGGTCTGCTTGGCCCAGCCAGCATAACAAATACGTCGCCCCGAGACCTACTCTCCGCATTTGAAACAAACGCCATGCCAGCCTTTTTTGCACTCAAGTACGCACCTGCAGCTATGCAGAAGACTGCCCCGCGCAGCACTTATCCCAACGCTGCACCCAAGGATGCGGCCTATGGGAGTATCATCGTCGTCACAAGCGTCGCAGGTACATATGGCGGGTGCTGGAGCCCTGCATTCACAATGGCAAGCCATGCAGCCCTAGGCGTCGTGCGTTCGGGCGTACTGGTTCTCAAAGGCACGGGTGTACGCATCAATGCTATTACCGCCGGCCAGATCGACGTTGGCGTTGACCTCAAGGGTGTACAAGAGATGCAAGCAGGTCAATTTCCGCCCGCGAGTCTACAAGCTGAGGAGGCCCAGAAAAGGACAATTGGGCTTGAGAGAGCGGGGAGACCGGAGGAGGTTGCACGGGCGGTCGGGTTTCTGGCCAGTGGCTTTAGCAGTTATATTACGGGGAGTGAGATTCGCGTTGATGGGGGCGCGGGCGTCATGAATCCGTTAACGGTACCAGTTTGAGAAGGATGTGGATTGGTTTTCCTAGGCTCATAGTTCATCCTTGTACACTTCTTCACTGCCTCCATCTGACCCCTGTTCGCCTTCTGCTTGCTCGGCCTCCTTCGGTTGCTGCTCCTTTGTCCCCATGCCACTGCCCTTGTCGTCCTTTCCCTTCTTCGGTTCGTCTTTTTCTTTGCTAGCCTCCTTTTTCGGTGCATCCTGATCCTCTGCTTCAATAATACCCCTAAACTCCCTGCCACGTGGTGTATCGACCAAATCTAATTTCCACCCTTTCCGCCCCGCTAGTTTCTTCAAATTACCCTTGAACTTTTCCACGTCCTTGGAGTCGGTGATGCCAAGCTTCTTCATCTCCTCCTTCGACATCTGCTTACCGTCGCTGCTTGCTACAGTGCCGATAAAAGTATCTTTTCCTCCCCCAACAACTACGCTTTTTTCAATCACTTTGCCTTTGCCACCAACAAGTGCTTGGGCGCCGACTTCGATACCACCGATTATGGGCCCGCGTTTGGTGGAACCTTCAAGTCCCTCAATTACTTCGCGGAGAGGATTCGAGTTGGCATCGTCATGCTCGGCGATCAGGCGCTCAGTTTCGCTATTCTTGGCGGCCATTTTCGCTTCTGTCCAGGCACTGACTTGCGATTCGGCGATTACAGGTCGGCATGAGATGGCGTGAGCAAGGTTTTCCTGGGGTGGAAGGAAAGCAACATCGTGGCAGAGGCGCGGAGTATCGACAATCATGAGGTAGGAGCAGGTACTGGTTTCCTTGATCATGGCAATCTTGTCGGCGGATTGGGGGTTACAGTGGAACTTTGGGACATGTTAGCATAGTACAGTGGTCAAGCATAGGTGTGCGATGCTCACCTGCACATCAATCTTGCGCGGCCGGCCGGTAAGATCGCACGTGGTGCCTCCTGACAGGCGCTGCACCATGTATCTACTCGAACCCTTGCTTTCCAATCTCGGCAGCGCTAGGCCCTTCTCCGAGCTCTCTTTCACGTTGCCTTCGTCGTCAAAGGCCTCTTTGCTGCTTTGGTCGCCATCCAGAGTCTTGCGTGCATCCTCCTTCTTAGCCTTGTGCTCTTTTGGATATCTTCCGAGCACGAAGCTATGCACAGTCGTATCTTCGACGGGTGGATAGATGGGGACCCCACGACTTGGCGGCAGTTGGTGGAACTGCTTGACTTCGTCCTTGTAGCAGAAGCTATAGCTCCACCACCCACCCACGTAGTAGACACAACTGCCCCGCAAGCCCTCGAGCAGCTCCCACCCACGGTCCGTGGCACGCACCAACTCCTTCTCTTGCTCGGCTTTGAATTCCTCGGCTGTGGTTGTGCTGTTTTGTGGAACCTCGTCTGGTATCACGGGGATGCTGCAGAGGTAGCGCCGACCATCGAGCACCACTGCTTCGTACGTATGTTCCAACTCGTCTTCACCATGTCGTGTTTGTGCCGACTTGTCGCGCTT